GCTTGAGGGATTAGGAGTCGAGTCCTATTTGCTATGTGGTATTTGTCGAGTACGATGTATAGGTATAGTGACGAGTATCTATACGTTGGTGTCAAGCATGCCCATGAGTCTTATATTGTGATTATTATGGCTTCGTTGTATTATTCATGCTTTGATGATGATCTTTATTGTTGGGCAAAGTTTGTGGAAGTAATTGTGACGTTTGAACATTGAGGAGCGTTGGCTCAAGTTGTACAATGAAATGTGAAAGCATAAGTGGAAATTGAACCTTTTAGAGCATTGGCTCAAAGTTATGAAGTGAGTTATGAAGTAAAAGTGAAAAGGAGAAGAGAATCATTATATTATCTCCCTTGCCGGGAATTTGTTGTTTTGATGTTATCTCCCTAGCCGGGATATTGATGCTTCTTTTGATGTTATTTCCTTGTCGGGACTTGATTATTGAACTATTGTTCCCTTACCGAGATTCTTATTGTAATTTCATTTATTCCCTTGCCCCATTATTTGTGATTGTTGTTTTAGACCACCAGTTCTGGGTGCTCGAGGTTCAAACAGTTGTATTAGACATATATATTCAGATAATTTACTGCATTTCTTTCGCTTATTGAAATTTTTCGTTGTCCACATGCTTTGGCTTTATAATTGTTAAAGAGTATAAAATGGATAAAGAAGTAATTTGTTCAAATAATTGGCTTGCCTAGCTCACATTAGTAGACGCCATCACAACACCCGAGGGTAAAAAATCCGGATCGTGACAGTAGTGAAATTGTTGAATTGGTTCTAGACCATTGAACTTCAAAATCCACCGTTAAAGAGGGAAATTGGCTGTCACTAATATAATATTGGACGAAAAGTTCGTCTTCTTTTCTATCCTTTTTTTGGTTAGGATCAAAATGGACAAAAAAGGGTAAGACGGAAGATAAAGATGGTGACTTTTCTTAGGCAAGGGATTGAGCAAACTTTATCTTGATCTCTGAATTTAATCTGGGAAGTTGATTAAATGAAGTAAAGAAGACTGATTTATTTTCCTATAAATGTTAGAGGAATGTTGGAGTGGCAAAAGGATTTGGTGCTCCTTTTTTCTTTTCATTTTCTAAGGATTTGGTGCTGTGGAACACTCGGTGCGTGAACCATAAAAAGAAACCAAAGGATTTCAGGGTTCAGTTTGGATCGGTTTTTCTATAAAAAGAAATCAAATCAAGTAAGTCGATTTTTCAAATATTAGAACCAAACCAAATCAATTAAGTCGATTTTTTCTCGATACAGTTTATGTTGGGTTTTGTCGGGTTTTCGATTATTTGTCGATTTTTTCTTAAATATAAGACATACACTACCAATCACATATTTCGGCGACCATATTTTCAACGTAACACTATCAAATCAATTGCCCTTTGAGAAATCTATTATTTACTAAAATATATTGATGATAATTGAATCAAATAGTGATGAATAATTTAAGGGCTCAATTAAAAATATATATATTTTTTAACATGAAATGGATTCTTACACTTAACAAAAGAAAACTACCAATCAAACTAGAATATAAAGGTAAAGAACGGTACTAAAAGTGCAAGCGATTAACATTAACCATAATTTTTTTTAAACTTTGTATAAAATATACATATATATAGGTGTAATAATAAATTTGAAATAGCTACTCCTATAGTCGATTTGGTTCGATTTTTTCGGTTATTTTTTTATTAAAACCAAAACCAAACCAAATTTGATCGGTTTTTAAAATTCAAAACCAAAACCAAACCAAACAAAAAAATATCAATTTTTTTGATCGGTTTGATTCAATTTTTTAGATTTCTATGAACACCTCTAATTTGTGGTGCGAAACTTATTCTGATTAGAGAGGGTTCAGGTAACCATAATCCACATTCTTAACATCCCTCCCACCCAACTTCTCCTAACCCAAGTTTCTCTACGTGGTTATAAAATTCAGTATTAATATTTCCTTGTAAAAAAATTATTTGGCATCATAAATTCATTGATCCAACTAATTTAGATTCGCATCTCATAGGTCAACTTGGGGATCAAGTGTTCCTTACCGGATTATTCTTCATTTCCAAATTTTGTACCTGAAACCTTAATAAAGGATAAACTTGATTTTTTAATATCAAGAAGGAATTGACTTCTTTTTTTCAAAGTTACCCTTGGAGTAACCTAAAGAGTATTTTATTATATTTTTTTAATGAACAAATTAAGTTTAATATGGTAAATTTTATTGTTAATTAATAGTAATACTAGAATATAAATTTATTAAAGTGGACCGGAAGTACTATAGAGGACTGAATCCTTGATTTTATACATATATATAGTGAGCGTGTTGAAAATCTTAAATGTAGAACTTATTAAATTTAAATTTTTAATGTGACAGTAAACCTTTGAAAAGACAGCATACTAACATTATTTATGTTGATATAACTCACTTTGATTTGGTATCTTCTTCGCCACATCTCAGTATAACCACCCAACTCCCCCAAAAATCTTACTCATCTCCTCCTTCCTAATACTTTTATTACTCAGCTTTTCACTTTGAAAGGCAAAGAAACAGTTAAATAAAAAACTTTATGTCTCTTGAACTTTACTTGAGATTATACTGTCTAGTCTCAGTTTGTTTTCCAAAAAGACAAGCAGCTTTGATTTAGGCATTATTTGTCTCTTCCCTTCCTTCTACTCTCAAAGGAAATCCAAGATAATCACAAAAACATCCACCACTTATTTTCTATACTGCCATCTTTCATTCCCCATCATAAAAGTCACAAAACCAACATATTCTTCAGAGAAAGAATTGTTTGATCTTGTGATGACCATCTCCTTTAATTTCTGGTTCCATTTTCAGTACTAGAATTGGCATTGATCACTGCAACTCAATTTTGCATAACAAGAACCATCATAGTTGTTTCAGTTCATATGTCCTACTTTTTTCTGCTGTAATACAAGAATCGGATTTGGACTATGGAATTCTTTTATCGTACAGAGCGGCTAATTCCTAATACTCATTATGTTCCGCCAACTAACAACGAAAGCAATTCATTTCATGGTTACTCCAAGGAAGCAAGTTTTGACACCACCATGATAATTATCCTAGCAGCTCTGCTCTGTGCATTAATATGCGCACTTGGTCTAAATTCAATTATCAGGTGTGCCTTCAGATGTAGCCGCAGATTTTCTTTCGAGTCAGCAGATGCGCGGGCTGAACGCTTAGCTGCAACAGGGCTGAAGAAGAGCACGTTGAGGCGAATTCCGGTGGCTGTTTATGGATCAGGAGTTAATATTATGGCCACGGATTGTCCAATTTGTCTTGGTGAATTTATGGACGGTGAGAAAGTGAGAGTCTTGCCTAGATGTCACCATGGGTTTCATGTTAGGTGCATAGACATTTGGTTGGCTTCGCACTCTTCTTGCCCAACTTGTAGGCAATCATTGCTTGTACAACCTGAGACGACATCCTCTGATGATGCAGGGGGTGTGGAAGCTGGATTGAGACAACCTGGAACTGCACCAAGTGGACTTGTGGGTGTTCCTGACGAATCTAGAATTTAAACTTTATGAGTTCAACATTTAACGTTTTTACCGCTGAATCCATAAAAAAATTTAAATTATGGGTTCAAATTTTGATATTTGTTGACATTTTAGTGATTTTTCATACACACACATATATATATATATTTGTATTCTTAAAGTTATGGGTTCAATTGGACTAATTAAATCCATTGTTCCATCAGCAGGGTAAGCTTATGCGTACCTCGACAATTTCGCCGGATTGTTTCTACCTTCCATTAACACATGTATCAGTATTTTGGCCTCCCTAAACGCATATGCTAGACTAATAGCCCGTTCGGCCAAACTTCTAAAATCAGCTTATTTTGAGAAGTGCTTTTCTCAAAAGTACTTTTAAAAAAGTGCAGAAATAGTTTGTGTTTGGCAAATTAATTAGAAAAACACTTTTGAGCAGTAATTAGTGTTTGGCCAAGCTTTTGAAAATTGTTTCTAAGTGTATTTTTCTCAAAAGTGTTTCTGAAAAAGTGCTTTTGGAGAGAAGCTACTTTTTTCTGCTTCTCCGAAACTGCTTCTGCCTCTCCTCAAAAGCACTTTTTTTCCTTCCAAAAGCTTGCCAAACACCTCAATTTCTTTTGGCCAAAAAAAACACTTTTGGCCCAAAAAAAAACTTGGTCAAACAGGCTATAAGTAGTGGAGTTAGGAGCCTATTTTGTGTCGGCTGCTCATAGGCAGTCCGATGATGTTACTTTAAATAGATAAAAGGACTTGATCATTTCATTGAGATCAAATGAAATGAATCCTTGAACCTTATCAACTGTGGGAAAAGATGAAGGAGAAATAAAGATAAAAAAGAATATTTTTCTTTTCTTTTCCAAGTTTCTTGGTCTCTGTTGATTTTATGGGGTGGAATCAACCTTTTGTGCTAAAGACATGGAATCTGCTTCTCTTCTTTTCCTCTTCTTCTTTCACTTTAACAGGGAAAAGTAGGTTCTCAATTAAGCAATCATTTCACTATTTCTTGATGTAGTGTAACTGCAAAACAAGGTATTGAGTGTACCTTTTGTTAACAATATTGCTGCCAAGAATTTATCTTGGCTAAAGCCTAACATTATGTTTGGATCATTGTTCCCCGTCGTTTTATAATGCACTGTATCATATTGTATCGTATCGTTTTATGAATACAATGTTTGGATATATTGTATTATTTGTTATTGTTAAATAATATTTTGCTATTTGGTTTGACTGTATCATACTGTACTAAAACCGATAAGTTTACTAAAATATTCTCAATTGTTTAAATAATAAATTTATCAAAAATTATGCATTAAAATAATGTTAAAAAATAAAACAGAACAAGCCAAAGCACCTTAAGAAAATAAAACAGCGGAGTGAGATAGAAGAAGGCAAAACAAAGGAGCACAGCTAATAAGAATTGAGTTAAAAGCAAATTAAGAAAAAAAATAAAACAAAAGCCAGCAAAACACCTTTAATATTGGCGGCAGAAGTTCTAGAAAAAAATAAAGTAGGTTATAGGTTGAAAAAAAAATAGGAAACAATCACACCACACCAAATCGGTTATTTCAAAAAAGGGAACTTTTCATTGTTCAGGAACAATGGATTTAACAATACAATACAATATATTTTAATAAAATAATCAAAACAAATATTGTTTTGAGATAACAATACAATACGATACAATAGGGAATAACCATACAAACAAGCGGTAAAGGAACAATATATACATGATGCTTGGTATCATATATGTACAACAAGCATCTTTACAAAGCCATGGAACAGAATCTTTTTGAGCCATTTCCTGACATTGTTTGACTATTAAGAATAAAAGGATAGCAGTGTACTGCCTCCCATGACTCTGTTCATTTGGCGCAACGCATGAGGTTGGTAACTATGACAAAGTGATTCTTCTGATAAATTATTTGAGGAAAACCTTCTTATGGATACTGGTCAAAATATGAAGTTCGCAAAAACAAGCACCCCTAAATAAGAGATACAGATTTAAGGGAAAACAGTAGTTTCTTTACTAGTATATCTGGTTCAACTTGTGTGAATCTCGACAAGAAAGTCACATGTTATAATAAAATACAATCATAATACGTGCCCGGTGACATAGATGATGTAACAATAGGGCCGATCGTTTTGTGTATTTGAGCCCCGCTCTCATATTTGATGCTTTCCGTATGTTTATTTGTTATTTTGTAACTTGGGGGTGGTTGGTTTGGTTTGGTTTCGGGAAGGTTTTAGAATGAACTAAAACACTTAGCTCCATGATTGGAAGCTTAAGTTATAAGAGTTGACGAAGGTTTGACTTTTATTTAAATGACCTTGGAATAATATCTTGATGGTTCCACTATGTTCGTATGGTCATTTTGTACTTAGATGTATGTCCTAATATGGGTTTGGAGGTACCTAGGTTGATTTGGTTCTATTTGGCTAAAGTTGAAACTTTGGAGGTACCTAGGATGCAGCGAATTTGAATGTTTGAACTTAGATGTATGTCCGAAAGTTGATATTGATATTATCCGGCATAAATTATTATTTCGGGACTTGGAATAGGTCCATCATATTATTTGAAACTGGTGTGCAAAGTTCGGTTGCATTCCGAGTTGGTTTGATAGGAATCGGGCGTTTGGTTGGAAGTTTGAAGCTTAGCAACGTAAGAGAATTTCAATAAATGGTTTGATTGTCGATTCGTAGATGTGGTGATCTTGCATGTCTTTGGAGGCTTTGGATAAGTCTAGTTAGTATTTACGGAGTTATTGGTATGATTAGACTTGAGTGGCTCGTGTAAACTAAGGACAACCCGGAGCTTGGCTGAGATTGTTTTGCGATTGCAGAGCAGGTCTCGCAATTGTGAAGGTTTATTTCGAGCAGCAGTGTTTTTGTTCTTCGCGTTTGCGAACAGGGCATCACATTTGCAAACTGTTGAGGTCATTGTTCTTTGCCTTCGCGGCAAAGGCTCACGTTAATGTAAGAGAAGAGGCTGGATGGGAGCCGGATGGGCTCAGCCTCTGCGTTCACGACGACTCGGACGCGTTTGTGACGACTAGGACGCATTCGCGTAGGTTTAGGTTGGAAGTGCATTGCGTTCACGGGTATTTGATCGCATTCACAATGGAAATTTGAGGCATAAGATGATTGGTGCTTTGCGAATACGATTATGAGTTCAACTACACTAATTTGAGGCAGAAGCTGATTGACCCATTCAATTATGAGTCCAACCATACTAATTAATTTCACTCAAATCCGACTCCGAATCGATATTCAAAACTTAAAAATTCACTTTATGAAACTTTAGGCAAACCCCCCCAAATTTGACTTTGAAATCATCAATTAAATCCCAAAAATGAAGATGGATTCATGAAATATAACCAAAACTGAGTAGAGAATACTTACCCCAATCCAAATTTCACTTTGAAATCATCAATCAAATCCCAAAAACGAAGATGGATTCATGAAATATAGCTAAAATTGAGTAGAGAATACTTACCCCAATTCATATGGTGAAAATCTCCCCCGAAATCAACCAAATCCGAGCTCCCCAACTCAAAATATGACCAAATGAACAAACTCTTGTTATATATATATTTTCTGCCAGCTATTCTACCTTGTTTCTCATGCCAATCGATCCCGAAACACGCTTTTTATGCCTCCAATAGATTTCTTGTGGAATTTTAGTCAATTTAGGCTTTTGAATCACTTCATTTGACCTTATAGTGAAGGATATATGTTGGTTATAATATTTGCAAATAGTGCAGATATTTAAATTCGACTTCAGTGGCAATTTCGTAATTAATCTGGAAAAAATCTAGCAACCCAATTCTTAGTAAAATGATCATAAATTCCCCATACGATGTCCAAATTCGATGATTCTTTTTGTTATGGCTCCGTAGTTACGATATGGATCTAATGCTTCAATCAAAGTAGAAATCGGAGATCATTTGCTTAATGTGGTACCATTTATGCTTGAAGAAATGACGTCGAAACATAAGAAAAACGAGTGCAGCGCAGCCCAAACCTATCTGAAACTTACCCAAGCCCCTCGGGACCCAGTACGAACATACTAACAAGTCCCATAACATTACATGGACCAACTCGAGGCCTCAAATCATGAATAACAAAATTGAAACGACGAAACGCGCCTCAAATCAAACTTAATGAACTTTCGACTTCGAAAGTTTCGCGCCGAAACATATCAAATCAACTCGGAATGAACTCAAGTTTTGCACACAAGTCCTAATACATGATACGGAGCTACTCGTTCCCTCAAACTACCGAGCGAAATACAAATGCTCAAAATGACCGGCCAAGTTATTACATTCTCCCCCACTTAAATATACGTTCATCCTCGAACGTGCCAAGAGTTGTTCCTAAGCCGTCAAACCGCTATGTAACCTTACTATGCACATACTCGGGGGTGATCCTGTCACCCTATTCCATCTAGGCCCGACAACACAATATAACTGAAGATCATTACTTCAACCTTAGTCTATAAACCACAGAATCCAATTTTCAACATCTGGAATTTACTACAAGACCCGAACTTCACATCTACACACTACATAAGCCTGAACAAGCTATATCAAGTCATAACCATAACCCAAGATGTAATCACCCCACATACCACACGACTAGCATACTCGTAGTAAAATTACTGATTACAGTAGCTGCTCAAAATAACCCAATACCGGCAACAAACCTCATGTCAAACAAAACCTCGTTCTAAAGCCTTTGTGTACTGCTGATGATGAAAGAAACACGCAGAAACTCATAACTATTCATCAGATCAACCAGTTGTGGAACCCCTTCTCCTTCGATAGGAATTATAGCAAATTTCTAAGCCGAGCAGAAACAATATCCTTCCAAATATACCGCAATCAGATCCGATAGCACCTATTCTAGGTCTGATGACCTCATCTCATCTAACATAATCACTATAGTGACATGCCATATCCATACAATCTAAATCCACAACCCGTGCAATCCGTGCACCAGTAAGCAACAATCTCAATGTACTCAAATCATAGAAAATGACTCTAACGAGAGGACTATCCCGTAAGCTTAACAAGTACTGCCATATCAAAATGCCGAAAATCCATCACATACCATAGGACCATCAAATGAATCTAACACAAAGGTCCATGCCTCAACATAACTCTGCTGCAATGCGTGACCCCATCCAAATAGTGGTCCATGGCATATACCTCAAGCCACCTTCTTCAAATCAACAACCATGCAAAATTCGACATCAAGCACCTAAAGTGAATTACGATAACCATGGAGAAGCAAATGACACAACGCCGCACAAAACCCGAAAGAGCATAACCAATAAG